TGCCCCAGAAGCCACAGCTGTGGTAGTGCAGGCTGTGCAGTGTTGGAATAGGGGACCCACCCGCAGGCATTGTGCTCCTGCGTCTTAAACCGTAGATGAGTGGGGTAGAACCCGGAGCCAAAAATGGTGAGAGCTATCAGGGTCTTGCTCTGCATAAGCTATAAACACCATCAGTGTTAAGTTTCACATTTAACTGACGCTGGAGGTCCCAGAATTCCTGGGACAAGAGCAGATGTTCTGTATCAGTCCTACCACCTGCCATTAACCCTTTCTCTCCTAGGATAACCTTGAGAATTTGCCTGCCTGGGCAGGAAAGGGACTATTTCTGTGGAGGAAATAACTGAAGATTGATTCCTTTACTAATTGCTGCTGATGGATCTCTGTGACAGAGAAATCACCTTATATCTCAACCTGACTGATAGGATGTGATGTGACTAGTCACATGGCTTTTCCTTCTTCTCTACGAGAATACAGCCTATCAAAATGACGTATATTGGAAATGTAGAACCAATCAAAGAGATAATTTATGTATGTAATGTAATGAGAGCACTTTTCATTGACTGTGAACTTTATATTTTTGAATCTGCACTCGAGCCAATCTTCTTAGAGGCAGCCAGGCACCTTTGTCCATAGGCAGAACGATCACTGCTCAGGTGTGGGAGCCTTCTGTGAGGGCACTAGGAAGGGTCCTGAGGAATTCATTGAACTGTTGGATGTTAGACTGTGAAAGTTCCTGAGAAACTCAGGGGAGTAGGGTCTTCTTTGGGGGAAGAAGATGGGAAAGAAGTGCGAACTAAAATTACTTCCTCCCAGATCAGAAAAAGAGAGTAACTCCTTGACAAATGTGATACCTACTAGGACTCTGCCAGGTAAAAATAGGCATTTGGGGATCAGCTTCTTTCTATTAACATGTGATAGCGTTGGCTGTCAGCCTCCTAATAGGTAGGGCCAAGGCTGATGCTGCTCACATCCAAGTAACCTTGAGTTATTGCAGGTGACTTCGAACAGACAGGCTGATGGAGAGTAGATGGGTGGATGGTGCTCACAGGTTAGACATTGTTCCTTCTCTTACTCTAGAGCAGAGGGATCATTTCCTATCACTCTCACTTCCTTAAAGTTTAACAGAGTACTCTTCTAAAAACTGCGTACCCACCTCACATGGTTTCAGAGTACTGGGCTCAGTTACTAATAACCAGGAGTTAATTGAGAAAGACCTATGCTTACAGGAAACCTGGTTTACTGTATTTTTTGCACTTTCCATATAACCTTAGCTAAATACAGTTCCTTCCATATTTCTGTTCTGTTGCCTTCTCCATCAGAAGAATTACTTAGGAAAAATAATTCCTGTTCTATGTAATTTTGACATTGCTTGATTTACCCAATGGGGAATGTGCTGTGAATATTTAGAATACTCCCACAATTTGAAAGTAATTTGTCTCATGAGAAACAAAATGTTAAAGATGGGGTTGATTATTTATTAGAACTTAAAAAAATTTTTTTGCTAAAGCAGCAGTAGAAAGTCAAGATGACCTGTTTATAGGTAGCATGGGTGGTTATAGATCTTTGTCTTCTCAGCGGTCCCACCCATGCCCATGTATTAGGGGTCCCATATCACTCCAATAGCTATATAACATTCAATCCCTCAAGAATCTGAATTTGAGCCCCCAAATTGTCAGGGGCACCTGATGGCTCTGTGTTAAAATGCTGGTCAGCTACTGAAACATTTTAGAACTCAGGTCTTGATTTGAACTTGGGAACATTGTGGTTCATACAGAGTTTAGGTGCTGTTACAGGAATGGGAGCAGTAGTGTGTTGCTGCTTTATTTTTGTATGGGAAGATGAAAATGAAGGGAATCTAAGACGATAGTTGTGGGTGATGTAAAACAGCTTCCTGCCCGGAGAGCAGAACAAAAAATGTTATGGGATTGTGATGTCTAGAAAAGAAATGTATTTGGGGAATGCGCCACTTTACTAGTGCAGTCAGTCGCTTAACACTGACCCCCTCCCTGCCTGTTAACTCTTTTCTTTTCTTCTCTTTGCTCCCCATCCTGCTTATTGGAACCACCACAAAACTCAGTTCTGACACACAACTTTACCACTTGTTGATGTGTTTACCTTTTAGTCAGAACTCTAAACTCCCAAATAGTCATGGTAGGTTATTTTCAGGAAATATTAGGTCGTATAAAAACCTTTCATATAGGCTATACCAAAACTTGTTATTCTCTTGTGTAACCCCCTTTAATTATCCCCCTCTATAATTGTTCTTTATTAGCACAGAGGGCAAAACGGCCATAGCCCACTACCAAAAATATACAGAACTTTTTGACCTTTGGGTCATTTTTAGTTGTGTGATCTGATGAGGCTGTCAGGTGGTGAAATCCAGTGATCTGTCTCCAGGCGAATGTAATCTACTTCCCAGGACTTAACCCAGGGGAGGTGTTCCCCAGGTGGGCAGAGTGCAGTTGATCTCCAGCCCGGAGATTCTGGCCTCTGCACAATTCTCAGGTCTCTGTGTGTAGCTCCCTGTTGGTAGAGATGTTTAAAAGTATTTCTGAAAGAACATCACTCCTTATGGGAGCAGTTCAGGAGTCCCATGGAAAAAAGAAAATCTGAGTATTGGCAACAGTGATATTCTTATTTTTACCCAAATTGATTGGAAATATATTTGAGAATGTGAATGCTGGTATGTCATAAAGCTGCAGTGCTACCACAGAATCATTGAATTACCACTCCTCTAACTTAAGCGAGGGCTTTGTTATACTACTGTAGAGTGTGCATGTGTGCAATAAGTGGATGAATTCATTTTCCTGGTATGTAGGAGAACCAACATGAGCAGCTTGGTAGTCATTGGGTGCTATTATAATTGTTTGTAGCGAGTGCTGTTTTCCAGGAGATGGTTTGGCTGATCTACTGAATATCAAATGATGCTTTTCTTTCCTTGTAGATCTTCAGCAAAAGCAGGTACTTGGAAGCCACAGGCTCACCTTCTCTACTCATTATTTCAATGAAGAGACCTCCATAAGGGAGCACTTGGCTGTTACTGATAAATGTATCAATTATTAAATAATTAGTCTCCAAGCCATTTGGTGATGTCTGCGGCATCACTCTAGAACTGTTTTGTGTCACTTCTTACTTCCTTGTGGGGGTGGGCTGGGGTTCAGACTCCCCCAATCATGGAGGCAAGTTAATCTTTCTCTCCAGTTAGTGACTTTTGCCCCATTGTCGGGTAAGCACTTCCTAGACTGAGAAAAACAACTACAGTAAATCCTGCTGTTTCCCTCATTCAATAACACATAAGCTCCTTGTATTCTAGATTTCATACACTTCTCCCAGATGCTATAGGGTTTTCTCTCACTGTAGCCAATGGATGTCCAGACAGTGAGTTCATATCTTATGGTTTTGTGCAATCATTGTCGTATTGTAGTCCTAAGACTCATTATAGTGTATTTTTGATATTTTTGAAATGTGTTAAATTTTTTAATTCAATAATATGAGCCAGAGCATGCTGCAGCAAATCTATTGTTTGTAAAAAATAACAATAACAATAATAATAAATAAAATAAAATGGAATATCTTTTTTCATGGCTTTGTTTTAAAGTGGAATACCTGTTATTTTATAAATACTTCATTTTACCCGATACTATAACTTTCTCTAACTTGTCTGTAGAATTAGTTTCTTAACCGAAAGCACTGTTAGGATTTTTCTGCTTTTTTTGCTTTAGGGGAAGATAAACAAATGAAACCACATTCCTTGACACATTATGAAACTGAGTTAAGTCAAGAGTAAGTATTTTTGATCACCTTTCAAGCTGAAATAGCAAGAAAGATTTTTTACGTTAAGAAACATTCTGATTTGATGTGTAAAGAACTTCCAAAGGGGCCTTCCCGGTGGCACAGTGGTTGAGCGCTGGGTTGCAAAGCTGCCTGCAGCCTCTGCAGCGCTGGTTCGATCCCCGGCCACCGGGTGAGTGTCCCACATGGCACGCAGACCTCTCCTGCTGCTCGCTGCTCCCCTCAGCAGTGTACTTCATCGGTCTGCCTGCTCTGCTGTCTGCTCTGACTCTGGTGAATGCTCTTACCCTCCCGTGCTTCTGACTGTACCCAGTGCTTGTATAAATAAATAAATAAATCTTAAAAAAAAAAAAAAAAAAAAAACTTCCAAAGACAGGAAACTCAGTCCTTCCTTACATGCAGCTTATTAGCTGACTTAGAGGAAACGCCAATTGAAAGTGCCCCTTAAATCAGAGAGATGACTTCAGAGGTGCCAAGTCGATAATCTAGCTCCAGTGTTTGTCGTCCTGTAATGGCTTTGTCATCAGAGCGTCGGGCATAGCGACAGATTTGGCTCACAATCTGGTTAAGCTTCTAAATTGTTTCTCCCATCTCCCCCACTGGTTGTCTCCCATAATTTCTGGATTTCCAAGCAAGATTAGCTACTTCTCACTCCAAAGAAAGCCCAAGTTAAAAAATTTTTTTGCAGAATGAACATTTTAAACTTGATTCAACAACTGCTGTTTAGTGTCCAGTGCGCCAGGCCCCTTTGGCCTTAATACCTCAATTCTTAAGATACGCACCTCCCTGCTCCAGGTGGCAGAAGGGAGAGCCTCTGAGTATCTTCTGTACCTCGTGTGATATTAACTCTGGCACACCAGAGGCCATTAGTCATTGAGGACACGTGCCTGTGTGATTCATGTTGGGTGTAGTTTAGCCTGTACTACTTCAGGCAAGAGTTGACTTCAGACAAGTTACTTGATCTCCCCAAGGCTCAGATTTTTCAGTTGTTAATGGAAATAATAGTAGCTTGTCAGCTGTGAGCTTAAATAAGATGATGCAAACAAGTGCTTCCTTAGTACTGACCTGGCGCACAGTGAGCAGTCAATGAAATGACAACTGTTGGGTTAGCCACTTGCCATTCTTGAGCTGCCCGAGGTACAAGAACAGCTATAAAACTTTAGGTTAAAATTATTGAAAGAACTTTATTTTTAAGATTCAGTGTTCATGATCTGTTACATTATAAAAATAATTAAGGTTAGAGAGATTACAGTCTACTTTTGAAGCCCTGTCAGGGAATGCAGAAATGAAGTCGCCTCAGTTAAGCCTTCATAGTCGTAAAATTAACTGCTTTGTCTTTGAAATCACTTGAGTAACATGTTTAAGAAGTTTATGAATTGTAGTTTGCCCTGTCTGGAAGCCTCCTTTTAAAAAATATTACAAGAAAGTGAATTCCAATTGTGTGACTTGCCACAAGAAAAATACTAACTACAAATGCTGGCAAAAACCATTTTCTCTCTGCCCTCCTGCAGGAATCCCAGGGAGGAACATGTATGCTAAGCATGTGTCTGTGGATCAGGAACCAGCCTCCCCACTCTAATGGAAAAAGGCCTCTGGGGACCCATGTCCTGGTCACAGTCCACTGCAAATGGACAGAATAGTTTCCCTCTAGGAAAGGGAATGTATTGACTCGTTCAGAATTCAGACACAACTGCTTTGAAATTACACTAATGGGACCAAATACAGGAGGCAATGACATACTTCTTTTGGCAACTAAGTAGGTGTGACAGGTAAGATGTTTCTGCTAGAACACTGGGTCTGCACCCCTGATGAGTAGTTCTCATCTTTCAGAATCTCCCTGGCTACTTAGCTATTATCATGATTGCTTTACCACTTGATAAAAAAGCAATCCTCTAAGGGCATTCCCAAACTTCTGATTTTGTTCTTTATACCAAAAGCAGAGATACTTTTCCCAAACTCCAGCCAGCAAAGACTGATGGAAAAATCAGTCATCTGTACCTTCATACCAGAGAGAACACTTAAAAATCAAGTATGTGAAACCCACTTGTCTCACGTGATTTAAAAGGATCCATCATTTTGAGAGAAGCAAGGGAGATGGGTTGACATTTCAGTCCCGGAAGACAATCTCAGAGCGTTCCAGACCATAGGTATTCTGGAGCACCACTGTAACTTTGGTGCTGTTCTTGGCTGTCTTTGTAATGCTTCTGTTCTCTGTAGCTCCGCAGGGCCAGCACCACGCTGGCACTGTACATGATCACCAGAAGACAAGCAAAGGTGGCCGCCGCTCCATCAGTGCCCGCCAGCTGGCAGTTCATCCAGGTGAGACCCTTGCGGGCATAGAGCCTCTCTCTGGCTTTGCAAGTGTCTGTGGAATTGATCTGCAGTGCTCCATGCAGGTAACAGCCAATGCCTATGCAGTAGCCCACTGCTGCCAGGAGGCTGAAAGCCACCTCCAGGAGCAGCCACTTGCTTGGTAGTCTGGTGGGACTCTTGGCTCCTTGGAGTAAAACACCCATGGTGAGGACACCCAGCCCCAGAGAAACCGCCACACCGCCGTATATCAGGGGGGCCCGGAGCACCGTGTACTTCTGGTCCAGCTGCCGAACCTGCTCCAGCTCCGTGCCCTCAAATGGTGAGTAATAGTTGTTCCCAAAGCCGCCACCGCTGGTAAAGCTGGCACTGAATCCAGCAAGGACAAAGTAGGAGGCCACGATACACATAAGAACCATCCCATTCAGTATCACCTCCACTATCTGTACCACACCTAGGAGGAGAGAGATTCGGGATTTAACACTGACGTCACTCACCCACAAAATTCTCTAGGTCAAACTAGAGAAAGACCCTGGTAACCTGATTTTAGGGTCAGATTGAACATTATCATCCTTGGCTGGTTGGTTGAAGATTTCTATCTTGGGAAAATCAAATGTTACTCTGGAAAGTTTTTGGCAATTTCTTGAAAACCTAAACATACACTTACCATCTGATCTGGCAACTAGCCTCCCAAGCATTCATCCTAAAGAAATGAAAACAGTTCTACCCAAAAACATAAATGTTCATGTAGCTTTCTTTGTGGTAGCCAAGTGCCAGAAACAACCAAATGTCTTCCAACTGTGAATAGTTCAACAACCTTGTATCAAGACCAGATCATTTGGTGGGTGAATGTCTTACTCAGCAATAAAAAATGGGCCTGTTGACATGTGCAGTACCTTGGATGGATCGCAGGGGAATTATGATGTGAGAAGAAAAAATCCAGTTTCAGAAGGATTCCAGTAGGATTCCACGGTTTTTTTGTTTCAAAATAACAAAATTATAGAGATGGAGAACAGATCTGTGACTAGGCAGTGGGCAGAGGGAGAGGGTCAGGGTGGAGATGACTGAAGGCGGAGCACTTGGGATGTGCAGTGGGCACACAAGTTATAAAAGTGCATAGACCCACACACATGCTCAGAAACCAGTGCGTGCAGAACGAGTGAAATCAAAAAGCACTGCAGTTTCCTGGTTGTGCTGTTGTACCACAGATGTGCAAGATGTCACCATCGGGGAAAACTGGGTGAAGAGTACACAGGGTCTCTTTCTACTATGTTTGCAATATCTGTGAGTCTGTAACTACTTCAAAATTCAACATTCTTTTTAAAATGTCAAAATGACTAAAAAACATATAAAATCTGCATTTCATCCCTTCTTCCCCTGCTTCCCCCCTGCCAAAAAGGAAGCATGCCACACACACCATTCTGCATCTTGCTTTTCTCACTACTCTCCCAGGGAGGCTCTCAGATCACGTCCCACCGTGTCCACATTCTTTGTTAGGTGGCCTGCGACTCCATTGTGAACACACTGGTCTATTCCACTGGAATCTGCTGAATCTGTTCACTGGGGGGCTTTCTTACTAGTCTAGCCATGGGTAGCAGGAGCCAACAGGTGATGGAGATGGTCTGCTGTTGGCTTTCATTCATCACTGAAAGAGACCCAGTCTCTTCTGAGGTGAAATTCAGACAAGGGGTCTCTGTCCTTTTCCTCAGGGTTCAGAGAGAACTGGAGTGGGAACCCGGGTTTACATCCCACTCTTTGCTGCCCTGTGACCCTGCCAGGTCATGGACTGAGCTGCAGACACTGACAACCAAAGCCTGCGCCATCCCCTTTCACCCCCAGGGAGGTAGTGAAGCCCACAAGAAAGCAAGTACATGGGAATACTTGGAAAATCTCAAACTATTGTTCCAGTGGATGCTGATGCCCCTCAGTAACACTTATAAAATGGAAGGGGATTCGTGAGAGATTTAAGAAGAAGTGGGACAGACTGATGAAAAGTGTAGTTTCCCAGAAACCAGGGAAACTCACACACTGGGTGCAAAAGTGGGGGTGGGGAGGGGAGTACCAGCTGGGCAGCTCAGATACATGCCTAAGTATGCTAAGTATCTCCAGCATACTTAGGCAACAGCACCGAGCTCGCTCATCCCATCTCCTGGGCCCACACGAATTCCTAGGAGGTCCACCGGTCGTGGCATCAAGGGCTCCGACAGTTGAGAAGCTACATTCTTCTAATTTAAATATGAAAATAACATCAGACCAGAGCTGCCTGCTCTGCACTGAGCTTTACCCTCTCTCTCTGCATCAGAGCCTGAACCCAGACATTCCAATTTGGGGGAGGGCGTACCTAATCCCCACACAACACCTTTCTCTGCCTTGGTTCTCCTGCACATAATAGTTAATGTCTGACCCCCAAAGGGAGGCAGCACCCTGCACGGTAACAGGTGGGCAACAGGAACGTTGTCCTCTGGGACAGATTCTGCCAGAACAGTGGAGCCATCATTCATGCACATCAGCAAGGCTGAAAAGGATCTAGATCTTGTCTTGTCAGCTCCCCCCATTGACTAGAACAATCGAGAGGAACAATGGCCTTTACTCATCTGCTGAAGGAATGTGGCCACAGAATATTATTACTAACCCAGCCAGGCTTGACCTGCTCACCATTCAGTATCAAACAGGCGCAAGTATTTCCAACCTACTGTTAGTACAGAAAGACACACCAACAGCAGAAGGGCAACTCCAGTGAGGCAGAACAGTCTCAGGAAAGACAGCAGATAGCTCTGTAGAGAGAAGTGGAGACTGAAACACAAGAAATTTTTGTTATGAAAAGCATCTTTCTGGATGAGGCTGGTTATGTAGCTGATCATTCAATACTCTGCTTAATTATACAGCTACTTCTGTTTTTTGTATATGTGGAAAATGGAGGATAGCAAATCAAATCTTTCATTTTTTATTTTTAAAAATAAATAGTACCTGTGCAGTCAAGCCATGCATAAAATGAAAAAAAAAAAAATCTCTCCAGAAGAAAATATAGTTAATGCTTTCTTATTTACCAGAAAGGTGTCTAATGTCTACAAGCATTTATGTATTTCCTTTCCAAAAGACAAATGAAACTCAACTTTTAAATGCAGTTAACTGCCCGCATTACGGGATAATATTATAAATGTAAAGAGAGCCATCACCTCAAAATTAAAGTTTTTCTTTGGATTTTTATTGGATCCACATAAAACAAAGAACACATTCAGTTGTACTGAAGATACATTTAATGGTGCCAATAAGCACATGCAATAAGAACCCATGAAGTTGCTTGGCTGAAAACAGCATTCTTATGTTGGGAAAGATTTTACATTCTTTTGTTCTGTTGGATCCTGAATTCCAGATGTCGGACTTGATTCTTCATACAATGGAACATTTAGAAGAGGTACAAAACACTTATTGAGCTTTCAAGGCCATTGTAAGGGGCTTGTAGAATAGCTTCTTTGCAGCTCGGCGAATTAATCTGATCTCCCGTTCCTCAGCCCATGCCTGCCTCCAACTTTAATCTGACAGCAGTCTCAGGAGATTCCCCAGCCCCTCCATCCAGACCATTAATGCAGTGAAGGACTTGAGAAAAACTCCAGGGGCATATCTCAAGACAGCTATATTTAGAAAAGTTCTAGGCTGAAATGTTATCTCATGGCTAGGTGGCTTTTCAAGAACTTTGAAGATAAGGTTCTTCAAATTCGCTCAGTTTTCTCTCTTTATTTAACCAAGGAGTGACCTTTGCGGGTGGACATGCTTTTTCCTTCTGGGTCTTAGGCTCTTGTATTGGGGTTAAATTTTTTTTGCTTAGTACCTCACCAAGAGAGGAGGCCAGAATTGGTGCTCAGGACATCCAAGAATGCGGCTCGTGCCACCAGGAGCTGCGCCTAGCAAATCAAAGCTGGCCTGTGGCTCTTCAAGCATCCAGAAGTTTGATGACAGGAGGAGTGCTTCCGAGCATCCATTGCAAACATTTTGCAGAAGGTTTTCCAAAGCCTAAAACACTAACATTTCTGCAGGCTTCTTTTTCAGCTTCCTGATCTTTTGGTAGCCCTTGATGGCCAGCACGGCACCCACAATAAAGACAGCCACGGCCGGGGCAGCAAAGATTCCAACTCCTATATCTCCACCATGGAAAGTGCAGCTGAAGCCACTGTACCCCTTGTTCTGGTAGAGAGTCTCCCTCTCTTTACACACGGGAGAGGCATAGGCTGCAGACACGTGGTGGAAATAGAAGTATAGAGCTGGGATGTAGGCAACCGCAATGAGCACATCCAACAAGCTTTCAACCACCAGCCACCAGGGACAATGCCATGGGACCCGAAGAACACCCAGGGTGATGAGGAGGCAGCAGAAGGCCATGAGGGCGCCACTGCAGGCCATTGCCGCAGTGACCGTGGGTAGTTTTAGCTGATAGAACTGGACGTCCAGCTGCTGGGCTTTCTCCCCGTCAGCACCATCGAAACCACTGTAAGCCCCTCCATACTGATAGTAGTAAATGCCCCCCAGGCTGGTGATGCCCGTGTAGCCCCCCGTGGAACTGTAAGATACAGAGCTGCAGACCAGGATCAGCAAGTTGAGGAGCAGTTCCAGCATTTGACAGCATGCTGCAAAAGAAGGGCGTGTTACCACTTAGACCCATAGGCTGGTGGGAGGGAGGTTTATCTTGTCCGTGGCAGCTCATGCTGCAGCGGCTCTTTATTCGGCCCCAGGGAAGGCCTGAGTAACCATAGCTGCAGATTAGCAGCAGATGGTGGCAGGCAACTGTGGTCTCCAGAAATGATGTCAGAGGTACTTTGGATTAACTCTCAGCAGAGCGCAGCAGCCTGCCCTAGGAAGATGGTGGGAGAGATCAGTCCAGTCAGAAAGAAAGGCTGCTGTGGAAGACGAGAAACTTCTCCATCCCAGCCCTTCCCTGCAAATAAATTTTGATGTATGTTGTGTAGCTCTCTTCACTTTGAAAGAGGAGATGACTCCAAGTTGGAAGGAAATCATAACATAGAACATAAGTGAAGTTAGAAAAAAGCATGTAAGTCATACATTAAAATGTGATTTATAGGTATTAGAAATGGAAAAGATTAAGTTCATTAAACCCAGAAGGCTTCCTGATTAAAGGAGCATACAAGGTTTTTTATTGTTCTCAGACTTTAACTCATTAAGCAGGTTTTAAGTTTCACTTCGTTTTCATTAGTTTCCCTAAAGAGCAAATCTGGGTTTTTCCCAGGGCTGGATTCTTACAGGGTCCTTAGATGCCTTATCTTGGACAAGGAAAGAGCTTTAGCTCCTCTACCCAAACTGGCAGCTTTCCTCAAAATCTTAAGACAAAAAATCTTAAAAACCTCATTGATGTGTAACACAATGGCCCACATCAAGTGTACACCTTTGGTGAGTTTTGACAGTGTCTGTGCCGTGCATTTGTCTGTATCACAGTCAAGATATAGAAGGTTTTCATCTGCCCAGAAAGTTTCCTGGTAACCCTCTGTGGTCAGTCTTCTCCCACCTCAGGCAAGCACTGATCTATTTTGTGCTTTTAGAAATTAGGTTTGCTTTTCTAGAATTTCATGTAAATACGATCATGCAGCTAGGTACCCTTTTGTGTGTGGCTGCTGCTGTTTAGAACAATATAAAGCCAGTGCTTCTGAGCTGAAGGGAAATTGTATTTGTTGAAACGGTTCTAGTTGGTCAGCCAGCTCAGGGATCAGACTGCCTGTATCTCCCTGGTTTGGGGAGAACCAGATTTTGTGCCTGGGTCCAGTTGACCTATGTATGAAGCTATGTTGCATTTACACATTCTGTCTTTGAAATCATGTATTCTCTCATATTATCTTTACACAGTATAATTCCCCACTCCATGCAAATAGCATTACTGTTTGTCATCATAAAGAAATAACAAGTTATTAAATTATAATGTAACACTATCAAAGGTTTAAAATAACATAATGGGGCCTCCCCGGTGGCGCAGCGGTTGAGCGCTGGGTTGCGAAGCTGCCCGCAGCCTCTGCAGCACTGGTTCAATCCCTGGCTGCCAGGCGAGGGTCCCACATGGCGCACAGACCTCTCCTGCCGCCCACTGCTCCCCTCAGCAGTGTACTTCATCAATCTGCCTGCTCTGCTCTCCCCTCTGGCTCTAGTGAATTCTCTCACCCTCCTGCGCTTCTGACTGTACCCAGTGCTTGTATGAATAAATAAAATAAATCTTTTAAAAAAAATAAATAAAATAACATAATGTAAAAATTAGCTAAAATGCCATCAATTAAAAAATACCCATGGTGACCATTATTTTTTCATCTGGACTTTTCTGTGCTGTATGCATACCTTTTGCTGTTATTTGTTTTGTTTTTTTTAATAAATTAATTCATGTGCTAGCTAGCACTTTTTTTTTTAATATTTATTTATTCATATAAGCACTGGGTACAATCAGAAGCGTGGGAGGGTGAGAGAATTCACCAGAGCCAGAGCGGGGAGCAGAACAGGCAGACTGATGAAATACACTGCTGAGGGGAGCAGCGGGCAGCAGGAGAGGTCTGTGCGCCATGTGGGACCCTCGCTGGTGGCCAGGGATTGAACCAGCGCTGCAGAGGCTGCGGGCAGCTTCACAGCCCAGTGCTCAACACCTGTGCCACCAGGGACGGCCCTGTTATTTGCTTTTGGTCAAGAACGGGGTCCTATTCTATCTATGATGTAACTTGTTTCTTCACTTAAGAATACAGTGTGAACCTTTTTTTATATATCATCAAATATTTTTCTTGTTTTAATCATCAAATATTTTTAAAGGCTGTCTACACTACTATAGTGAATTTAAATAATTCCAAGGTAGGCTGTTCCTGATGTTTTACTACAAAGGAGCAAATATATTCTATAGTGACAGTCTTTTATTTATTTATAATTCAGTCAGAAGCGCGGGAGGGTGAGAGAATGTACACTGCCTCTGATGTTCCTTGGCCGGGAAGCAGCCGGGGATCGAACTGGCGCCGCAGAGGCCGCGGGCAGCTTCGCAACCCAGCGCTCATATTCTCTCTGTTTCTTAATATATAGTATTGGGGAGAGAGAAGCCCCACAGCCACTTATTGCTGTTTTTAGCTTTAATAGAACTAGACAGGAATCCTCAGGCCTGAGGGAGACATCCAGTGTGGTATCTGTATTTAAAAATAAAGAACCAGTGCCTGTCCATGTCTTCCAAGCCTTTGCAAGGCTCTTCAAGTGAACAGTCTCTCCCCCGAGACCAGTACTTCATCTTAGGTCTTTCTTTGACCGGCAAATCCTTCACTATTAATGAGTCAACATTCTTAGAGTCAACCATGATTTGAAATCTTTTTTTTTTTTTAATTTTAAATTTCTTTTTTTTTAAAAAAAAAGGTTTATTTATTTATACAAGAACAGGAGTACAGTCAGAGGCGCGGGAGGGTGAGAGAATCACCAGAGACAGAGCGGGGAGCAGAACAGGCAGACAGACTGAAGACACTGCTGAGGGGAGCAGCAGGCGAAGCAGGAGAGGTCTGCTGCGCCATGTGGGTATCTCCCTGGCCAGCCGGGCATCGAACCCGCGCTGCAGAGGCTGCGGACAGTTTCACAGCACAGCACTCAAACTCCTGCGCCACCGGGGAAGCCCGGCTTGAAATCTTGACATAAGCGCCATCCAAATAAGTGCTGGATTAGTGTCTGAGATACACATATACAAGAGAGAGGGGATTGAGAATGTACACTGCAGAGAAAAAAATCCCACCACTGCCCATCAGGAAACTTTTTAGTATGATCATAAGTCCATGCCATTGTCAGTGGGACGCCACCTCAAGACTAAATCTCTAGGCTAAATCTAGACAAAACCTCTTGACTGAATCTCTATCTGAGTGAGAGACAAGCTCCACTGCTAGAGATGGCCGCTTTCCTGGGTGAAAATACTATTAAACTTTTAAAGATGCTCAGGATTAGAGCCACAAGTGGAAAGCAAACATCATTTTGATTGAAAGCTAAGAGCCTAAGAGGAGAGGGCAAGAACACAAGGGAGAGGGGAAAATGCACCAAATGCAAACTTGGGTGCCTAGGAGGGGAGCAGGAGAGGTACCTTCTTTCTGGGGCACCTATAACTCCTCACCGGTCCTTCCAAAAAATCCATGAACAAGGCCCGTCCACACAGGACTCCCTGGTGGTCTGCCCTGCACATGGCGTGTTTGTACTTGGCTTTTATCTTCATCCTCGTCCCCTAAAGAGTCTAGTATCTGAGTGCACTTGCCTGTGAAAGTGAATTTGAAATCTCTTTCATCCTCAGTGTTCCACTGAACTCCAGGGCCCCTCAAGGGAGTTAGAGAGAGCTACCGCTGCCTCCCACTTCTGCCAGTTTGCTAGTGGAAGACATCCTTTCACTGATGAGGGAGAGAGAGCACGAAAGATCTACTCTAACGTGGAGCTGAAAATCTCTGAGTCATCTTTATCCAGGTATGCATTTCCTGTGGGAGATTAAGTTCCTAGTGTTTAATGCCTGTTTCTTCTCAACACACCAGATTGTGTGTTTATGTGGGGCTCTGGGCATCCCGAGTTCTTTATAAGCTCTCATTTATTAGCTTCTGACTGCTGAACCATCCTTTCACTGTCGTGACTCAAAAACGCAATCTCAAGGCACACAGCCAAACAGCCAGAAGCAATCAAAGCTGCATCAAGATGTGCTTTGGTCAAAAGCCTCCAGTTCTGCGCTCTCCTTTCAGTAAATCAATTGAGAAGAAAATACACCTTTACAGAGAAATCTGTTAGCCAGCCTCTGGCTTATTCCTATTATTTTTTTTTTAATCAAGAAAAAAGGTGAAGCAAAGAAACCTTTCAGACCTTTGAATCAGGTTCTTAAGATTCAATTCCAGCTCTACCACTTAAGAGCTGTGTTACTTTAGGGAATCTACTCTACCTCTCTGAGGTTCAAGAGTTGTCAAGACAATGAAAAGTAATGAGGTTGTGCCAACATAGAGAAGCTACAGTAAGGACCCTTGTATGCAGATTCCTCGGGCTCCCTGGATGAAAGGTCTATAATCCTATCATCATGTACATCATTGTAATCCTAAATTACATTTTCAAGTACAAGTTTCCTGAATTCTCTCCCTTAGGCGGAGAACTTTCCCCCCTTAGTCACACACAGGAAAATTTCTCGCTCAATCATGTGAGTCATAAGGGCTCACCCTGACAAACCAGATTTTCTTCATTGCTGGTAAGGCCAGGACTCATGCTAGGAGGGAAATGCTGGGAAACCACTTTGGGAGCTGACACAGGATATCATTGATGTATTTTTCAAATGGTAGATTTTAACAAGTGTGGTTTTTTGTTTCTGTTTGTTCTTAATGAAATGGAATAGCAGTTGGTGTATAGTAGGGTAGTACAGTATCATTTCCCTGTGCCCGTGAGAAAACTTGGTCTTAGCTTAAAATGTCTTACTGTGGGTCTCAGTATCAGATTGCCTGTCCTGTGGTGCTGCCTCCTACAGGGGGCTTTCCCTCTGACCCAACCCTGGATCAGCTGGCAAAAGTTCTGGTTCTACCTGCTCAGCACTACCTGCCCAGTTCTACCTGCAGCCCTAAACCACTGGCTGCTGGCCTCGCGGAACCTCAGGCCACATTTGCAGAGAAGCACAGAAATCTGGCCACATCTTTCAGACTTCTCAGTTCCTCCCCCGCCCTTTTTTTAAGGAAAATGAGAACCGCATGTAGATAGAGAAATGAGAATTCTAGGAAACCAAGAGGGACGTGTGCTTGCATTTTTGCTTTACCAGCTCAGACCCCTTCCAGAACCACCAGTGACAGTAAATGGTCAAAGTTTCTCCCAAATGGCTCACCTCTGCCAGTGCACAAATATCTGCATTTATGGCATTCCAGGAGTCCTTCAGCCTCTGACTGGTAACATTCCACTTCTTCTCCAGGCCAGGCATTCGGCGGCAGGTATCTCCCCACAGTGAATTCACTAGAACCAAAACCAGACATGGCCATTAGGGGGCCTCATATTCAACCACATGACCTCCAGGCACACCTCACACTAGTCCCAAACCTTAAAAGACTGCAAAACAGAAATTTGTCACAGCATTTCGTCCTCCAGAGAATTCTCTGGCTCAGTGGCCCCATAGAGCATCCAAACACTTGCCCCAAGTCGGTTGGCCAACCACATCCCAAGAGCAGACAGACTGTGGACACCGAGAGTAGATCTGGTTCATAAAACGCGGAAGCCCCTGGCCCTGCACCCCGTCCACTGAGTAAGGCTTGTTACTCGGAGGACAAACAAATTGCCCTTTGGTTCCAAACTGCCAGCTGGCTGTGAGTAAAAACAGCAAAAGTATTCCTTTCACTGGCTGACAAGGAAACCTAAAATGTAGCCCTGAGTTCTCCCAGGGCGTGCACTGACCACAGTGCCTAAAGGTGGATTTACCCAAGAAACAATTATCCGGTATCTGGTCACACCCTTGGTTATAGTTTGGTCAGTTGGTTTTAGATAATGTAACATAAACTCAGGATAGTAGCCTGCTTTCCCGCTGTGTGAACACAACATGGAGGAAGACAGAGCTTTCGCTTCCAAGCCCCACAGCAGCAAGGAGCCTGACTCCTCAAAGAGAGGGGGTATCAAACACAGAGCAGCCTGTCACCTCTGCGGCCCGACTCGCCAGCTGGGCATTCAATAATATTTATGAAATAGACTGTTCCATGGGGAGAGACCAATTCCCTGGGGGAGGGTGTGGGGTCCCTTCCCTTCCAGCTCAGCCTTTGAGAACAGCTGGGAGCTTTCGCCTCCCGCGGCCAGATGCTAATTCTGTGTCCCGCAAAGCAGGAGTGACAAAGTTGGTTCAGGAGGGTGGGGTCTAGAGCAGTCAGAATTTGAATGAAGCTACCCAGAAAACCTCACTGACAAAGGGGTGGGGCATTGGGGTGAGAGGGGCACGGGGGGGGGGTGCGGGGGGGGTAGGGGTGGTGGCGGGGGTTGTGGAGGGAATCTCTGTCCTGGAGTGCGGAGTTTTAGGTGGATTTAGTTATTTGCACAAAAGCTGCTCCCAGCAGTGTTTGGAAAAGTACCTGCCCCTGGCAGGGGTCATGTATTCGCTGCTAACTCTCGTCAGGCACTTTTTAAGGCCCCGCCTCCAAGGAAGGGGACTTGGGGGGTGAGGAGGGGGGTATTGGAACTCCGGACGAGGGTCAGAAGCCCCAAGGGGGCAGTCCTGGGACTCTCGGGGTCGGGGAGGAGCTCAGGTTAACCCCACCTACCTGCTCTTCCTACCCCTCCCTTTCCTGTCCTGAAGCCTCTCTTCCTCCTTGCCCGGCGCCCCGCAGTTGCAACAGCGAATTGGGGGTGCTTTCTGCTTTGTTAATCGAGTTCGGGTCAAGAAGTGGAGGCAGCGCGAGGTTTGCCTTCCCTCCCAGGCCACCTCCAAGCAAATGGCACTGTCTCCCTTTAAATCCACTTAGTGGACAAGTGGGGGGGTGGGGTTCGACAGCGCCGAGCTCGCCGGGCCCCCGCAACCTCAGCTCACCTTTGCGGGGCGCGGCGCCCCGATTCTTCCTTCCTGGAGGGCGGCGGCCCCGGGGCGTCCCAGGGCGCGGGCCAGGGGGGCGGGGCCGCGTCCCAGGTGGGCCTCCGGGGTGCGCCCCGCGGCCGGCCGGGGCGGGATTCTTCCCAAACTCTCGGCGCCTCGGCGCGGTAGTCTCCGAGCCCGTGGGCGTCCTGGCGGGGGTCCCGGTCCCTCCCCCCGGCCCGGCCCCCGTCCCTCCGCCCGCCCCCGTCTCTCTCCCGGCGCCGCTCCCCGGGTCTGTCCCGCGGCCGCTCGGGGTGGCGGGTTCGGTCCCGGCGGGGGTGCCGGTCTGGGTGCCGATCTGGGTCCCGCTCTCGCGGCCGGGCCCGGGGCTCGCGAATCCCCGGCGTATCTTCCATGGTCGGGATCCGGGTCCCCGCCCCGGAGCGACCCGAGGGCAACAATCCACAAGTTTCCCGGGCAGGTGGCCAAGCCCAGGGGCGGGGCGGGGCGCGGCGCTCACCTGCGCGCAAGCGCGCTGGCCCTGCCGCGGACCCGAGGGTGCGCACCTGGGAGCGTCCCCCGACAGGGGGCGCAGCTGTGCCCCACCCGGGCTGCGGGCGCCCCAGAGTTTTTGCGTTTGTTTTTTTTAAAAGATTTATTTATTTATGCATACAGGAACTGGGGTACAGGCCAGAGGTGGGGGGGCGGTGAGAGAATTCACCAGAGACAGAGTGGGGAACAGAACAGGCGGACTGACTGAAATACACTGCTAAGGGGAGCAGCAGGCGAGTCAGGAGAGGTCTGCTGTGCCATGGGGGTAGCTCCCTGGCTGGGGATCGAGCTTGTGCTGCAGAGGCTGCTTTGATTGCTGCTTTTGTTAGTAGCTTCATAGGTTGCATCTTAACCCTTGAGCCACCAGGGAGGCCCTGGTTTTTGGTTTTTTTTTTAAACAATAAGCCTTAATCTTTATTTTTATAAAGGAGGCCTGTAATGTAAAATGAAAATAAGTGGAACCAAATACTCTGGGAGGAAAAGCAAATTTCTTTTAAATAATCAAATCGAGATTGTAATTATAAACCAATCAGTTTCTGTGCAGTAGAGTCTGATTTGAGCTGAACCTCAGATAATTCCAAAGCTATTTCTCTGTAAAGGGCACCACTCACTTTTGGATTCACCATCAAGGTTTGCTTCTTTTCTCTCTGAAGTTCTTCCCTGTATGGCTGGATGTTTTCCTCTCTGTCTGATAATACAGCCTCGTCGCCACTACTCTGTTCTTTGCTCGCTTCAGACCTTCGCTCCAAGTTGTTTTCAGCCTTGACTAAAGCAGAAGAAAGAGAACCAAGGGTAACCAATTCTTTCTCCAAAGTATATGCCGAATGATCAATCAGGAAATCTTCCACTCCTGATTTTAGCTTTTTGAGGACACAATTTATAGGGAGAACTCTGATCAGGTTATGAAGGCACTGGAATAAAACTGTTTGATTCCTGAAATAGACCATTAAAATCCCTTCAAATGGTGTTTTTTGTTGCCAACTGAAAATTGTCCCATAGAAACTTCCTGGCCTTTTACAAAAGCAAATTTCTGGAAATTCTTCAATCACTGCACATTCCATGTGGTCGAAGAGCCACACCTTCATTGAATTCAGGGCATAGCTGGGTGATATGATTTGAAAACAACTTTTGCGTAAGGCTGTGAGAAATGCAAAGAGATCTTCCATGTGTTCTATAGGATTCTTCTTTGAAAAGGTAACTATGTATTTCTCATTTGAAAGATCTTCTAGACTTATGAAGATCCTGCTACATTGAATATAACCATCTTCAGAAGAGTCATCATTTTCTCTCTTCCCTGACTTGTAGCAGCACAATGCAACCGAAATTCTTGAGTGCTAAAAGGGGTGGAAGAGATGTTACAGCAGTAATTAGGTGTACAGAATCTTCCTCAGATGGTGGTTTAGTAACAAAACATTCCTTTTTCTCATAGTCAGTGTCCACAGTCAACCTGATTCTTTTTGCTTGGGATTCTATTTCACATGGCACTAAATGTGTTGCTAGTGAGGAATCCCTCCTCAACTTGATCACCCTATTTTGACACTTCACAAAATTAAAGTTGGAGCAATCGGCTTGAACCACATGATTGATAAGAGTGATAAAGTCACATGATTCAGAGATAGGTGCAAAGATGAAGTTTTCACTCCAACAATCAATTTATCATCCATTACACGATACCATATCTTCTCCAGTATCTGTTCAGAGACTTGAAAACTGCCTGATGGCTTTTCAGTAAAGGTATGCAGAGGATTTTCCTCTTTACCACAAAGTGTAACAAGACAGTCCTCTGTACTTGAAGTATTATCATCTTTCCCATGAACCAGATGGATTAAACTTTTGCAAGATTTTGAAATCATTTTTTCCTTAAGTAAGAGATGCTGCTGTAATTCCTGAATAGAAGCCAAACCAACTTGCATTCTTCTTTCCAGAGGTGGAATGATCAAACAACGATTCTTTTGTGTGTCTTCAGATAAATCATTTTTGTTGCATTCCAATGGTTCACTTGAATAGTTTATGCTGCCAAAATCTGTTATTTTAAATGAACTCAGGCAATCTAAATTCAAAGAGTCATTAAAAAGTAGTAGTAGCTGGGCCTCCCCGGTGGCGCAGCGGTTGAGCGCTGGGTTGCGAAGCTGCCCGCAGCCTCTGCGGCGCCGGTTCGATCCCCGGCTGCTCCCCGGCCACCGGAGGAGGGTCCCACATGGTGCGCAGACCTCTCCTGCCGCCCGCTGCTCCCCTCAGCAGTGTACTTCGGTCCTTCTGCCTGCTCTGCTCCCCGCTCTGGCTCTGGTGAATTCTCTCACCCTCCCGCGCTTCTGACTGTACCCAGTGCATGTATAAACAAAAACAAACAAACAAATAAATAAATAAACAAACAAACATGCCTCTATTAAAAAAAAAAAAAAAGTAGTAGTAGCTGTTCAGTTCCAGTTCCAATAAAGTCATCTATCAGTACTGACTTAGTATTTTCCCACTTGGCAGCAACCTGAAAGTTCTTATTCCAAACAGCACAAGCATCGTTAGACCTAAAGGATACCACAAAGAGGATTTGTTCTCCACCGCCATCCATAAGTTGGACCGCCCAAGGATCTCCAAAGGGAAGCTGGCACACACTTTCAGGAGTCCCATTTTGGAATGAAATCAGTTGATTCTTTCGAGTGAGGGCAACCAGCCACATTCTTAGCTGGTTGTTGACCATTTCAGTGGCACAGACATGCACATAAGTGACAACATTGCTATAAGCAGGGGGGATAATGTATGAATCACTTAACACTTCTTGATTTTCAAGAGCATATACACAAAATTTGCTATTCTGAACTGCAAAATCTGATTTTGAAAACTGGGTCCATCCTTCCTCAGATAAATAACATCCCTTTTGTCCTAATAAAATGATACCTAGATTTTCAGTTTCTCCTGCCCACTCAATAGAGGACAAGTTCACAGACATAGTAATGACTTTGCCAGTTTTGGAAGAGATACTGTAGAATGTTTCGACATGTCTCCATAAAAGGAAGGGGCCTTTCAGGACCCTTAACTCTTTCAACTCATGGCTGAGCCTAAAACTCAAACATTTCTCAAATTTATTGGTACTGTGAAGAAATAGTAGAAAATGCTTAAAAATATTCTTTTCAGTACTTTGTATCACAATATAAGGGAAGTTAATTCCAGTTCTGAAATCAGATGCACAGCTGCAACACACAATTTTTGAAGGAGAGTCTTCCTCCTTTAGACTAAAGGATCCTGTGGATTTCTGAACAAATACTCTTGTTTCTCTGTCAAATACCATTCTCCTGATATGTAATATGGGTATTTCTGCAGGCCCTTCATCTGCAAGATTTCCTTTAAACAGTCGAAAAACAAGAACTTCCCCATTATAACACAAGAAACTTTCTTGTTCATCAGCTGGCATTGCTCGTTTACTGGTCGTTCCACAACGTCAAGTCAAAATGCTGGTTCACTTTTATGAAGGCAACTGATTCCAGTGGATGCTTAAACCTCCCGTTGCAGCTGTGTGTAGATGGGGGAGACTTGGAAGCGGGTTATTTATAACATTCTTCATAATTAACATGAGCTTTTCCTCTTCTATATTACAATGCATCAGAGTTTTACCTGTATTTTTACTATATTACAATGCATCGGAGTTTTACCCGGGTCCAGCCTCTGTCACGCTCTCGACGCCACGCCACACGCGGGCGCGCTGACCCCGCCTCCAAGCCTCCCGCCTGCACGCTCCTCGTCCTGCGTCCTGGGAGGGCCTGGCTGGAGGCTCCCAAGAGTATTTGGGACGCTGACAAAGCCCATGTGCCACGCTCGATCTGCCCTGGAGTATCCTCTCCTGCAAGGTGCGTGGCATAGGGAAGCAAACTCTGAAGTGACTCAAGCTTGGGGTTGCTTCCTGGGGTGTATCCTCGCTCACCCACCCACCCAGCCACCTGGCCAGCCACCCAGCCAAGAGACGCTTTCCGGGGTTCCCATCAAGCACACTTAACTGTTTCTGCAAACACAAGTCTCACGCGGGTGAAGCTGGCCCTGCATGGAATGTGGCAGAAGTGACCCCAGGTGACTCCAGGGGCAGGTCCTAAAGACGATGCAGCTTCCACCTGGCTCTTTCTGCGCTTGTTTCACCCTGGACCCAAGCCACAATCACGGAAGGAGTTCCAGGTCGCACGAAAAAGCCACGAGTAGGTGTTCTGACCCCTCTAAGGCCCCAGCCAACAGCCAGCATCACTCACCTGCCAGATGTTAGTGAACGGGCCCACCCTGAACCCCACCCCAGCCACCGCGATGCCTCCAGGCTCTGAGTCTCTATGCTCAGTGCCTGCCATTGTGAGCAGCCCTCCCAGTGTGGGCCTTTCGCAGTTCCTGACCTGCAGGATTCATGAGCATAATCTCAGTTGTCTTATGTTTCTGAGCATGGGGCTCATTTGCTACTCTGCAAATGATAAATCAGAATGCCTTTGAGGACTGGCCCATATTGGCCTCTCCTTTTTTGAATTATTGTAATTTTGGTTCCAAAAATGCATTTTATTTTTGGTCTGGAAATTTTTAAGTAAATATTCATTTGCACTGTCTGTCCCTCTCTCAGGACTGTCAGCTCCCTGGGACAGTTCTTTGACATTTTGCATAGCGTGTAGTAGGTGCTCAATAACTAATTGTTGAGTAAGTAGCATTCATTCTTTTTTTTTTTTTTTTATAAATTCTTTTTTTTTTTTTAAGATTTATTTTTATTTATTTATACAAGCACTGGGTACAGTCAGAAGCATGGGAAGGTGAGAGAATTCACCAGAGCCAGAGCGGGGAGCAGAGCAGGTAGAAGGACCGAAGTACACTGCTGAGAGGAGCAGCGGGCGGCAGGAGAGGTCTGCGC